CTATAATGTTTGCTGCATATATTAATTTTGACAAAGCAAGAGATTTTAACACGGTAACTTTTCCATGAAAAGAAAGGTTTCTCGCACTCCATGATTTTAATATTTGTTGAAGTTCTATCAACTTACCGTCCCAATTCTTACCTGTACAAGACTTAATGTCGTACCCTATGTAAATTCCTAGAACCTTTACTGGATGTTTAACCCAACACATCTCGAATGGTTCATCTTGCTCAATATTTTAGACACTATAATTTTGCCTTATAATGCGTTCTTCTGAATCAAGTCAGTATATATATCAAGGTATCTTAATTTCAAAAAATTAAAATCAAAATATCATCACAGCACAAAGCTCAATTGCGATAAAATGTACAAATAATCGTCAAAGTATGAAAAATAGTCTTAAAATTACAGGACAAAAACAGATTTACACCACAGAATCCAAAAAATGCACACACAAACAATTAAATTAAACAAGATTATAAAACATCAAATTGGTATTTAAAAACCACATACAAGAAAAACTAATGCAAAATTATTGTAATTATTATAATATTATTAATACTGTTGCTATTATTATTATTATTATTATTATTATTATTATTATTATTATTCATTGACATTGTTTTTAATATTACATTTTTATTGCTAATTATTAAAAATTTGTCACTAAAAAAAAATATATATATACGGATTTAAAACATTGTTACAATGGAGTAGTGCAGCGGAGCTATGCCTATTCCAGAAACTGTATAGGGTATTTTCAAAAAACCGAAAGGTCCACTGATTACTCTCAGATATAAGGTACCCATTCCAAGACATAAACTTCCTAATGTTACTAAGCGCTGCTTGAATTTAATCACCTGGTTTTCCTAAAAACCAGGTGAATTCATTTTACTTAGATGTTTAAATAAATTAAAGAAACACTTAATTAAAAAGGTAAAATTCATAACTTTATTGCAGTAAAAAGTTTCTCATTTTATATCTACTAAAGATCAAACCCCTAAGGAGTACAGAAGTTCTGTTGTCTATCATTTTAAATGTCCAGGCTGTAATAGTGATTATATTGGTAAGACAGATAGGTGCTTAATAACTAAACTTAAAGAACATTTTTCACGATCTGATAGTGTTATATTTGATCATGTTAAAAACTGTGAGGCATTCCAATATGTTTTAGGCTTACAGGGTATACTTGAAAATGATAATGTCGTCTGTAATGTAAGTAATAAATTAGGTTTAATATTTTCTAGTACTAACATTATTGACAGCTCCCGAAACTGGTCTATCCTATTGTTTAAAGAAGTGTTTGCTATACGTAGACTAACACCCTTTGTTTAACAATGGGCTCAGAGCTTCAAAGGAGCTTTCTTTGTTTTTGTAGGTAGCTTTGATCAGTAGAGTAAGAATGCTTTGATCTTTTGTTTAAATCACTGCTATGTCACCTAATAATAATAATAATAATAATAATAATAATAATAATAATAATAATAATAATAATAATAATAATAATAATAATAATAATAATAATAATGTTTTGATTGGTTAAACACTTTTGGTACTAGTGCATATAAGCTTGCTAATATGGATAATTTTTTCATTCCTGATAATGACATACATTACTAATGTCGAAATATTGAATCCCAACACGATGGCGTGCATTTCAATACTTGGAGTATGTATTATACTTTCTTGTATATAAGATGTAGTAGAGGACTGTGTTTATATCGGTTGGTTTTACATCTAAATTTATCATATTTGCTAGGATTCCTTAGTGCAATAGATGCTTCTGAGCTTGTATTTGGAAACCATGAACTAAATCTATAGGATGCATATATCTATAGATACAAGTCAACTAATAGTGATCAAAACCAGCTTGTTTCAGTTTCCTAATTATGAATAAAGTAATTAATAATTAATCAAGAATTGGGACAAATTACACACTAACACAAACCATTAAAAAGTGAACACCGTCAAATAAGAAATAAAAAACATAGAAACACAATGAACAGTTCGAAGATGTGATAAAAGAATATACACACACAAATGTTCATACACACAAATATAAGAAAAGACGCAAGACCTCTGAACAGCAGCGAAAGAAGTACTTAAGTGAGTTTGCTCACATATATATACAGTATACACATAAAAATAGCTGCTAAATAGCAGTGAAAGTCGGTGAGGAGGGTACCAATTACAAGTTACCAGTAGGCTACCAGGGGGAAAAAATCAAATAAGTAACCTGATATAATATGGTATTAATTAGGCTGTTAAAAAATCGTTTAGTTTTAGTGGTAAGTTGAGAAATTTTATGATTAGCATTCCTAAGATTTCTATTGTGATTTTTGAAACGAGTTGGTGGAATAAGATCGAAAGAGTTGGTTGTTGAGGGCAGACCTTTGGCGAACTTATGAAGTGGGCTACCTTCCTCACCGAGAAGCCTGTTCGTATGAAGTAAAATTTCTACCAAGGATAATATGACAAGCCCTTTTCTGTATTGCTTCAATATTATTACTGAGCTCTTGGGTAAGACCAGGATGCCACACTACATCACAGTATTCCAAGACTGGTCTGACGTAACCCTGGTAAACAGCGCACAGTTCCTGCCTGTCTAGTCTAAACTTTTTAAGATTGCGGAAGCAAACTTACTTATTGTCGCTGCTGCTTTGGAGGTCGTGCTTATTGTGTATGTAATAATAATGATATCAACAATAACAAAACATGGTACCGGTATAGCCTAAGTTAAACAGTGGTACCAATGATATTGACATTATTTATGTTATTTTACGAAATCATTATTGTTATTATCACCAGCGTCATCAATTTTCATCAATATAATGTTAATCAAACTATAGACCAATAACATTTCAATATTTTAATTGAATTTTGAAACAGATTGTCTTGGAGACAGTGGCGTATCTAGGGGGTGCGTGGATGTATACCCCTCCAAAAATTACTCACCCCCTCAGTCGCCTCCAAAATATCACGGTCAAGTAGTCAAAACTCACCTTATTTTGCCAGTTAGCGCCCCTCAACTGATCATTGAGCCCCCCCCCCCTCCACACACTTCACCTTCACCCCAGATCCCACCATCAGCACCCCCATTTGAAGCCTTCTAGATACGCCACTGCTTGGAGAAACCTTACTATCCATGAAGAATCTAACGACAAACATATACCTGGTGTCGTGGTCTGCCAACAAGCGTAGGAAACACCATGTTCGGGCCATCGTGTCCTGCAAATCCAGCTTTAGTCACCCCTGACCCATTGTCAAATACCAAAGTACTCATATTGTGGAACAAAGTTATATACCTTTCTAAACAAATAAGAAGTACAAATAATGTTAGTAAGATACCATACTGGTTAGACTAAACGAGTGTGCAGTAGCGTATCAACGGAAGTGTGGGGACCCAAAAACATATCGCCTTTCTCCCAGACGCATCCACTATCAATTTGTTTAAAAATGCGCTCAAGAAATCATTCTTTTTATTTCATTTTAAAGACTAAATCCCATCACTAAAGCTGCATTCACATCGGATCCGAACCAAAATTCAGACCGCGTTTTCGATAAGCTGAACGCCAGCTACACTGATCCAATTTTCTGATCGGTTCTATAAGATTTCCGAACCAAAAATTCGGATTCAGTGTAAACAGTGGCGCGTGACTACCGCAGCTTCATGCGGTTCATTGAACTTGAGTCCTCCCTCCGCGGGCACCCGATTTTTAGGCGCCCCTTACCCTTATAATAATATAACAAAGCAATGCACATATAAACATTTGAATTGATAGTATTTATCTTTACATTACTGCACATTATAATTTGAAATTGTTAATCATAATCAATTATGCATAGGCCCATGCCCAAAATTGTCACTCAAACGCTGATATCATCGTTATTGATGGAAATCCAGTGAAACAGATCGTCATCTGCATGCATGAAAGACTGACCAATATAAATTACCAATTCACAGTAAAAATTGCAGTTTCATGTGCAAAAGTCTGCTTGGATTATTTTATTGTGTCCTCATAAAATGACTTGGATTGCACGAACATAGGCCTACACAAAATCTTCTCATGGTGGCCAAAGTTTGTTTGTTTTTTGTATTTGTTTTTTTCAACGTAGCAGGTACTAACGAAAATTTCACACCAATAAAATCGATGTCTCAATTTAGTCAAAGAGTCTGGCGTCAGTGGCGCAACTAGGTTGTGGGGGGCCCTGGTTTAAGAGTGCAGTCGGGGCCCTCTTGACGCATGCAAATAAATTGATTAACTAAGATGTGTACCACCGTTGCGTTAGTTTTGGAGCATGGGTCATTCCGATTTTTATAACATTTTGACAATAAATCTTTGGAATTTTTTATTTTTAGATGTTCTCATAAGGCATTTTTGAAAAACCGACTATTGGCTGGACTGACCATAATAATAAACATTTCTACTTCTTATGACCAAAGAAAAATATTCGATATCTATGGAATTTGGTGCTTTTATCAGATTAACCAATGAACAATGTCAAAAATTATCTTGTATATTAGTCATATTTACTTAAGCTAAATAAAATGAAATTGATCACACCTCGTTAGATTATGTGTAACTGTGATCATGTAAAACACTTATTCAACAAACATATTTTAATAATCATTCACTTAGAAACAACTGCACGAGTAAACATTTAAAATGCAAATAAGATTATTATTTATTATCAGATTATTTTTTATCAGTTGAAAAAAGATATAAACACGATCCCAAACATTTGTATAGGATGAAAAAAATAAACAAAAATTGAAAAAAAATATTCATCCAAATCTTAATTATGACAATTTTATCGATAATTTTAATAATATAGGAACAGAAATTTAAAACTCACTTAAATACGATGAAACAGAATGGAAAAACCCAAAATGTATCGAACAAGTGAAACATATAAGATATTTTGGTTTAGAGATAGAGTACGAAAACTTAACATGGTATTATATACGACACACACGTCTGTAAACTCCAAGATTCATAACCTAGGAAAACTGGCCAAAACATTGCACCAATCTCTGCTTATTACATAAGCAAAATCGAACCATGTATATATTGTACAATTTCTGTTTTGGAAAACACATCCGAGAAAAATATATTGTAATAAGACTGCAAACAAGAATTATATAAACAAAATTTTGATTACAAAAACTGTCTTGGCGAAAAGATAATTCAACAACTAATTTCATGTTTAATGTACAAATGCCCCCTCGTTAATATAACGAAATTGAAATGATTTTCTATCGACATGGAGATTCCAAACTCAAACACTTTGAGTGTTGTTGCACTAATTGCAGTGACATCTCTCTTCACTGTAGATTTCTATCTAGTGTTCGAGTGACAATTTTTACGACAGGCAGGGGCCTAGGCATGTATAAGTGATTATTTTTAACAATTTTAAATTATAATCTGCAGTATTACATAAAGATAAATACTATCAATCAAGATGTTTATACATGCATTGCTTTATTAGATATTTTAATAACAGGCGGAGCTCTTATATTATTATTATCATTATTATTATTATAGATCAGGGGGCCCCTGGAGGTCGGGGCCCAGGTTCGATG